ATATCGCAATATTGATTTTCATTGACATTGATATAATTAGATGCAAACTTATCACCCGATTGATTATCATTTCTTGAACATCCATTAGAAGTTAAACATTTTTGAAAGGTTTAAAATACTTGAAATGTTAGAAATGGTTGGCATATCCATCTGATATCTGACAAACATTATCAACATCTCGCATATGAAAATCGGAAAATAATTAATTAAATGTTTATTTTTTCTTTTTTGCTAAACGGTGCTAAAAATATATCCCTCACGTGACTAATTACAAATATTTTTTAAGTTTCTTTACATCATCAAAATTTTCACTTGTAAAAAAAAAAAAAAAAAAATGAAAGTTCTTGAAAATTACTGGTAATCAAATTGTTTCGTCGTTCTCATTTTCATTGTCTACAAACCACCCATCCATCATATGTGTTTTTAACTCACAATGGGAGACAATAAAAGATGATATCTGCATATTATTTAAAATATTCAGTTTATATAAATTATGCGTAAGTACAAAAAATAAATAAAGTAAATAATTTTTAACTTATAAATATTTAATTTGGTTAGATGGAAAATAAAGTTTATATTACTTCTTGGAACCTGTCGTCCAATGTAAACAATAACATTGCTTATCAATGAAAAAAAAAAAATCAAAAAAAAAAAAAAATTTAAATGTAAAAAAAAATTATGAATGATCTTTCTTTTTTCATGTTGGGTCCCGACAAATGTATGTGTACAGTGCACAAAGTCAGGTTAAAAAAAAAAAAAAAAAGTGCATTTCGGTTGAGTTTTTTTTTGGATTATCTAACAAGATCATATTTATTTATTTATTATTTATTGTTTTTTTTTAAAAAAAAAAAATAATTTATTTTTTGACCCGAATTTTAATTTTTCATCAATGGTATACGTGATTCACAAATTATTCGGATCTTATCATTATATCTTTACTAAATAAAATAAGTGCTTTTGGTTCATTTTGTTTACATTAAAAAATTATTTGGGTTAAATCTAATATATTAATTTTTCATAAAATTAATAAGTACATAAATATAAACTTATACATTCATTCACAAATTAAGTAATATCATACGACAAATTTTTAAAACATTAAACCAAAAAAGTAATTACTATTGTAAAGAATTATGAAAAGCTATAATGAGAATTAAAATCATTTAAATCATTTATATAAAAATGAAAAACAATTAATGTCTCTATTTTATTGTAAATTTCCTTTATTATATAAAGATTGTTATCAAAAATGTACAACATTATCAGGCATGAAATCATTTTCTCTAGATTTTAAAATGATTTATTTCTTTTGGTAAATAATATAATAATGTGGATTCTTTTTTTTTTCAATGAATTCTGGAATTGAATTTTGTAAATCACCTTGTAAATTAGTAAAAGAGTATCGTTTTCGGAGAAAGAATTAAAAATGATTTTTTTTTTTTTAATTTAAGGCTCATTTTGGTTAAATAATAAGAATTTCAATTCATTTATTATTATACAAATAAGAAAAGAATAAAATCAAATTAATAAAAACTTTATTATTAAAAAAACAATTTTAAATGAAAACAGAAATAGATGGAATATTATTAATTTTTATTGTCTTATTGAATGCAATCAAACATCATAACAGGCAATAATCCATTTAATACATCCATTTTTGGAAAATTTTTAGGTTTAATCACAATTTTTTCGGTTTCGTTATATCGTCTATAATTAGCCATAATGATCCTCATTCACAAAAAAAAGGCTAATTGTACACACGTGATGTTGCCGAATATTATTAAATCAGGTATGTTAATCCAAAAACGATTAAAATAACATCTGATAAATTTCGTTATAAAAAAAAAAAAATAAAATAAAATAAAAATATATTAATAAATTTTAAAATAATTATAATAAAAATATTAATAAATTTAAAATAAATAATTATAATAAAAATATATTCAATTCTAAAAACTATTCCTTATAAATTCCTTTTTTGTCTTATTATTACATTTCTTATTCTTATTGAAAATATATTTTTTGTCAATAATTACGTGATTACATAGATTATTTACGTGATTTTTTTTACTTTATCAATCAAATTTGGAAAAGAAAAGTATTCAATAACAATAAACAAAAGATAATAAATGATATAAATGATAATATAAATAATAACAGTCAACAACTAACAACAAAAAGGCGATAATAGAAAACATCCGATAACAACAAACAACAACTGTTAGCAACAGTCACAATTTCGGACAAGTCATTAATATTAACTTTTTTTAATTATTAGGAATCTTTTATCGAATATACAGTATTTGAATTATTTGAATTTTCACGCGATAATTAAAAAAAATATAAACAGCATAGTTAGTATAAAATAGACAATGAAATGAGAACAATCATAAAAATTTAAATAGTCATACCCATGATACAAAAGAAAAAATATGCGGCTTTTAAACAAAAGCGTCTGAAATTTGTCGATTTATCATTTTATCATTTTATCATCGCGAAAAAAAAAAAAAATTTTTTTTAGTTTAAAACTGCATAAAATAATAATCTTTATCATATATCTTTTTACTTAACAATTGATTTGGAGATTCATAGTAATAATAAATTACTATCAAAGACAAGTATTCTACTAAACATGTACCATACTGTTCCACATTGTCCATTGTTCATTTTTATTGTTTACTCGTTTATGTAAACTAAAAACCTGCTTGTTTAATGAATGAAAGAAAAATATTGCGTAATTGGAAATTATTTAAATATTTTTTATTCATTATTTATTTATTTATTATTCATAAATGGATTCTTTATTTATTTGTTTTTTTTTTTTTTGGTTTGCGATTAATTTTACTAAAATCAGTTACGTTACGCGAAAAAAGAAAGGTAAAAAGAATGATTTCTTTCTCTGATAAACTCAAATAAGAAATTTATTTCCAAATCAACGATTTAAAAAATTTTTCAAGTTGAAACTTTGTTTTCTTTATTTCTTCAACATTATGTAAATGAAAGAAAAAAAAACAGTAGAGTACTCCTTTTCTTATCATTATGAAAAAAAAAATGGAGAGAAATCTTGAAATAGTTCCAATCAAAGGTAAATGGGTTTTGTTCTGCTACCATTTTAAACATTACACCGCATTTTTTTTATAAAGAAAGTTCCTAAAAGAAAATAATGTATTAGATTGATTGGTTTCAGTTGAAATTCAAACAATGAATCTTCCTTTAGAATGATAAAGAATATAATATATATATATATGAAAACAAGTTCCAAATTCTCAAAATCAAGGTAAATCTCTACCAACTATAATTTTCAAAGGATCTATTTTCAGGTTTTCAATTTGTGTAATGATGCATCATGTATCCTCGCCTCGTTATCATGAATTTTTTTTTTTTATTTTATTTTAAACTTTATCCAAAACTTTAAATCTAAAATGGTAAGCTCATTAATTTCCAAAATTGAAATCTATGGCAGATTATCATGGGAACAAAATTTTCTTAATTATAAATAGACCCGGAAAAAACAAAAATAATAATTGTTGTGAGTCTTTTAATTTCAAAAAAAAAAAAAATCAAAAAAAAATCAGAAAAATCAGAAAAAATCAAAAAAAAAATGGCCAAACTACCTTCCTTTTCGTTGAATAAACATGGGTTCCGGAATTACTATTCGCATTCGTATCGTATATATCTCGCGTGGTAATTATAATGATTATTTAGTGATGAACGTAAACGTTAACTATAAATTTATGATCCTAATACTGTCTATTCTATTTTTTTAAAAAAATTATCTAAAACTTTGAAAGACTGTAAGTAAAAACTTTTCTTTTTTCTGATTAATCATAATCATCAATAAGTTAATAAGTTAAACATGGAAGTATTATGATTATCTAATAATTGCTCCTCTCTCTTTTAATACATTCTTTTAAATATTAGCTTTCGCTACATCTCGTTATAGTTGGGTTGAACTTGTAGTCATCAATGTGTACGTCGAACATAACATTGGTGGTGATTATCATTTCCATTAATTAGAGAAATTCTTTGACGTGATTTTTATATATAAATATATATATATATATATTTACTTTATTTTGTAAATTATTATATTATTTACGTAGGCCCCAAGTTTCGACAGGAACTCATGTTTTATCCTTTTTCTATTTTTTTTTTGGTAAATTTTCGGGTTCTCTGGCCATCACTTCGTAAACTAGGTACTGGTTGTTTTCTTTACTCCGTTAAAAATTCGAGTCACTCCTATTAAAGATGAATCCTTGCCTAACAAATCTGTGGTCGCGACAATTTTTATTTTTTATTTTTTATTTTTTTCATTTAGGTCAATTTATGAAATTTAGCCAATACTATTTATAGATGATAATTTTATTTATTTCTTTTTTACTTTCTGAAGAAAAAAACAAAATCATATATTTTTATTATATCGTCATCACGTTAATGTGACTAATTAAAAATTACATCGAATAACATTTTTTTTTGTTGTTGAGAAAATTTAAAAATTAAAAAGTTTTTCTAATAAGTTTATCGTAAATATAATAACAAACTAATTAAACTAATTAGTGTTTTAAGTTTAGTATCTGTAACTCAAAGTGATGACGGTTAAAAAAAAAAATCACACGTGCACAGATTTGTGCACACAAAAGATTTAAGGTTAAAAAAAAATTTATTGTATTTTTATAATTATTATTTAATTTGAGCATAAGAAAAATTTATAAATAAAAGCTTATTATTAATCATAACATAATTAACTGTAGAAGTGTATAAACATAAAAAAATTAACAATTTCTTGAATAGTCCACAATATTATAATTAGTCGAATGACGAATCATAAAAAATGAATAAAATTTTTGATTCATATGTACATAATTTTACGTAACGATATAGATATAAAAACGATTAAAAAAATAATAATAATAAAATTTCGAATAATGAAAAACTCGAAAAATCGAAAAAAAAAACGTAATAAAAAAAAAAGCTACGTCGATTAAATTAGTTTTTCTTGGTTAGATTGTTTCGAATTTCGATGGTTTTTGCCCATAAAATCTAGTATTTCGAAATGATGTTTGATATTCCAATAATTCTCGACAAGAATTACTTAACATTTCTTCATATTTTTCAGGTTCTATGCTAGTAAATTCCAAAATAGTTTTTTTCATGGTTTTGAATGTATCAAGGAATACTTGCAGTGCCTTAAAAAATTCAAAAAGAAATTAATGAGCTAAATAAAAAGTAATAAAAATAAATAAATAAAAAATAAATAAAAGAAATTAATTACAAAATCGAATTCGCAATATTTGATAATTTTATCTTCACGTCGAAATTCAACTAGATTATTTTCTTCGAACAATTGAGGAACACTTTCTTGAACGTAATTAATCCCGCGATTACGATAAACTGTGATCACTATTTCATAAATTTCATAAATTATTATTATTATTAAAAATAAAAAAAAAATGAGGCATTAAAAAATATAAAATAATATAATAGCCTACATTTATCATAGAGAAAGTCAGAATTTGGTCCGGCATTATACATTTTCCCTTCGAATTCTATAATTTCTAACCATCCGCCAGGTTTCAAAAGTCTTACTAATTCAGAAAATACTTGTTCCTTGGAAAGTTTTCCAGGAAAGTATGGTAGACAATCTTTGATATGAATAAAATCAAATGATTCATTTTCAAATGGAATGCCATCTAAAATATTGGCCTGTATAAAATCAAGATTTTTTGGCATACAATCATGAGGATAAAGTTGTACTATGTCAACACCAGTAAAATTTGAAAGTGGGAAAAAAGTTGCCATTTCCATAATCCATAAAGCTGGGCCACAACTAAAATAAAAATTAATTAAATTAAAAAAAAAAAAAAATTAAATTAAAAAATTAAATTAAAATTAAATTAAAAAATTAAAATTAAAAATTGAAATAAATAAATAAAAAATAAATAAATGAATAAAAAATTAATAATAATAAAAAAAAATATTTACCCCACATCCAAAACATTCATGCCTCCCAAATTTAAAAGGGTTTTTATTGGAGAAGAGAAATAAGATTCCCAAATTTGAATGTACATGTAATGTTGTAATTGCAATCTATCTGCTTCCTCGTAATCCACGGGAAAAAAGTAATCATCACTAAAGAGAAACGTTCGACCATTGATAATTTTTAAATTGAGGTCAAGAATATTTGTTGTACTTATACTATTACAACTACTGGAATAATAATCATTACTATTTTTATTATTGTAAACATTATTATTATTGCTGCCTATACTACTGATTTTATTTTCTAGATTATTAAAAAAAAGACTGCGGCTAATTCTATTTTGTTTTCTTGATGACTTTAATTGATGATAGGATTGAGTATTTCCCATTATTTAATAGAATCAATCGAAAAATTAATGGTAAAGAAAAGGAAAGTCGATAAAATATAATTATATATATGAATGTGATAACATGAAATTATATATATATATATATATATGTGATTAGGGGAAATAAGTGGAAGGAAAAAAAAAAGAATGAGTGATAAGAAAATAAGTACAATAAGGAATAGGAGCAATTAATAAGGAATATAATATAGATTTGGCACTAAATGATTGAAAAGAGGTGAAATAAAAGAAAGGAATGTATTTGTCTTATGGACAAATTATATTGTATATGTATATTAAAAATATAATTAAATAATAATAATATATATATTGTTCGTTAGTGCAAAATAAATATTTGGACGAGCGGTATAAAATTTTTAGGATGTGAATTCATTGCCAAATTTATGTCCTTTAAAAACTAAGCCCGAGTTCTTGGTTTCGAGTACAAAAAAAAATTTTTTTACTTAAACTAACATTGTAGGTTTCATTTGGTGGTATAGAGTTTTATTTACCGTATAGAAATAATTTCGAAAATATGTAATTCAAAAAAAAAAAAATAAAAATAAATATGAACTGATTTCGAATTTCTAAATTAGTGAAGATTATTTTTTCCGAAAAAGAAAGAAACAAAAACAAAATAAAAATATATATACTATTTTTAAATATAATTTTTTTTAATATAAATTGATTATCTTTTACGCGTGTACAGATGCTTTCCTTTTATAAGCATTATTTAATCTGTAATGTTATTTTATAATATAATAATAATACTTCAAAGTGATTATATTATTCGGATTAAGTGCTATATTAATATTATAATATCATATTGTTTTATTATCTTACTTTATTATCTTACGTTTTTTATGCATGCAATCAATTTTTCATTTGTATTATTATCTTTATTTTAACCAATTTTGGTACTAATATGACTTATTAATTTATTATTTTTATACATACATATTTATGTCAGATTTCGTTTTCGTGTGTGTACGTGGTAACATTTACATTTATACTGAGCAAGCAAGTTTCGAAACAATTAGTAATATTTTAATATTCCCATTTCTTTTTTTTTTAATAATAACATTTTAAAAAATATCATTCAAAATTAATCCATTTTTATATATAAAAAAAAATATATTTTTAGTAAAAAATTAAAACAATGAGAACGGAAGAATAGAGAAAAAATTTTAATTAAAATATATATGATTTAATAAATTCTTAGAAGACGAAACTCCGTTGGCGGTTAAAATATAAAAATAAAATTAGTAAAAAATATATGTTTATATTAAATAAAAAACATCAATAACGGAAAACTTCGAAGATTCTTTACAGAAATTATATCTTATCAAAGAATAATGTACGTACTGTAAAAAATTATATATAGATAAGATTTGATTGGTTCATAGTATACAAGAGTTAATAAATAAAATAATAATTAAAAGATTATCTTTGCTATACATAAATAAATATAAATATAAATAGTCGATTATATTGTTTATCAACCAATTTATTAAATCTTTTTTCAATCCAGGTTTTAGGTTTAGCGGGATATTTTTACGGAATAATATAAAATATATTCTATTTTCATGGGTTACGCAATATTGTGTGATACAACTAATAAACCAATTTTTTTTTTATTAAAGTTTATTCTTTATTGCAGCTTTCATTATATCGTATTTAATTAAATAATAATATTATTGTTATTATTATAATTTGTTCGATATTATTATCTTTTATCTTATAATTTATTCTTTATTATTATTATAGTTTTTCCTTATTAATTGCATGGCATGTAAACTCAAAAAACCAGTTTTTATAATTCTAAAATTCTTTTTTGAAATTAATTCGATTTTCTTAAGAAAATAAAGTTTAATGTACATTAATTAAGAAGAATATTAAGAAATTAATAAGATTAAGAAGAAAAAAAGAATTAGAACTTTTTGTATATTTTCATTTCAATAAAATTTGCTGTTAACCAAAATTTATTCATTGTTTGTCGTTCAAAATGTCACACTTTTCCCATATAAATAATGAAAGAGAGAGAATAATTATCCGAGTTTTTTTTGGGATAAATATTAAAAAAAATCGAGTACTAGAACACGAGTACAGTAAGTCAAAAAGCCAAACAGTAGCCGATCCAGATAATATTATTTGTTTTTCCATGAGAATCAAATGTAGTACCGCAATTTTCGATGCTACAATCTTTCATATTTTTTTTGTTAAGTTTAGCCTTAAAATGTTTCCGGTTGATCAATTTTTTCAAAACGTTATAAAAATGTTTTAGAATTCGTTTAATAATCATAAAAACTGTTTGTTTTTTTTTTTTTTTAAAAAAAAAAGGGGATAACGGATGGGAATTAAACTTAATGAGGCAAAGTCACACTAAATAAACGCCAAAAAAAAAACTTCATATGTATTATCTGCAGAATATTATTTTGTACAAATTAATAGAAAAAAAAAACATTTATAACTTTTTGTTTGTAACATTTTTTTTTTGTTTTCTGAAAAGGAATTTTTTTTATCCGTAAAAAAAAACAAAAATCAGAAACAAGTTAACAATAAATAAGAATAAGTCGTAAGGTTCTACAGGAATTCTTTTTTTTTAATAAATTATAAAGTACCAAATTAATCAATCAATTCCAGGATAAATATATTTATTCTTTAAAAATTTCAAAATAAAACAAAAACAAATATGACTAAATATATTAATATTTGTAAACAATTAATATAATTTTTTTTACAAATATTTTTGTCAAAATGTATTGCGCGTTTTATATATTAAGTAATCACACGTATCTACTTTAGTTTATTTAAATTAACTTTTTTCCGTATTAAATTTATTTTTATTTATACCGATTTAAAGAAATGTCAGAGTGTTCGTCACCTGATATGACGGAGAAATTTTTTAACGATTTAATTCCACATTGTGGGAAAATCCTAAATATCAAATTCGTTCGTAAAAAAAAATGAAAAATATGTAAGTATAAATATTAGAAAAATTAATAATAAAGTTATGAAAAACAAAAAAAAAATTCAATTAATAAAAAGAAAATACTTTACAACAATTACAATTATTTGTAACAAAATTTTTTCCTCGGGTTCGTGCTCCGATAAAATTTATTAATATATTTATACGTTTTAATATATGAAAATTTATAATACATTTATTGAAACTTTCCAAAAAGTTAATCTACTTTTACCTTCTGTCCCATAGGTTTTTATTCCATACATTAAAAAATTATTTATAATATTTAAAACAAATTTTTTTTAAAAACTAGATTACAAATTATTAATCATACTATATTATATAAAAATTCTCGCTTGACATAAAATTAAAAAATAAATATTGATAATCAAAAGAAACAAATAAATTGTGAATAATTTCTAATAATACGGTTTCTTTATTCGCAATAAGCATATACAAAATATATTAAAAATAAAATATAGACATTCGAATTTATTAAATCTATTATTATCAAAAAAAAAAATAATTTATATTTTATTCAAATCAACGAACGTAAGAGAAATATCAATTCTTAATCATAATATACAATAAAAAATCTGAAATGAAATGTCAGTTAGACAAAATTTTATTGATAATATCTTAAATCAGATTTGAAATAATGAAAATTTTATATTATGCAATGTAATGAATGGTTTTTAGATGTCAGAGATTATTATTGATTCAACGTACCGGAATATGATCACGTGGAATCAATTATTATGATCAATTCTTCAAACTTATATTGATTATATTGATTTATTGTTATGGTTGTATTTAATTTGCGTTTATACTATTGTTTACTGCGGAGAGAAGGTGAGTAATTATATCAAACGAGTGGTGTACACATCATACATTTGGTAATAAAAGATCCAGAGAAATGTTTTTTTATAATAACTCGAAGCAAAGTTTCTATTCGGCATTAGAATGCAGCAAAAAATAAGCAAATCAAATTATGACTTATAATTAAAGTAATTTTTTTAGAAAATAATTTAAATAATAATTTTAATAATTTCGATTGAAATTGGAATTACAAATTATTTATTCGAATTTGAATAAAAAAAAAAATATAGGTTTAATAATAAAAGAATATTAAATTAAGCAAAAAATATGTGAATAGAGAAATCAGCAAAAATTTTATTATCTATTATCTATTATTTAAAATCATTATTTGATTGTTTAAAAAAATCATTCGGTCACGGGGTGTAGCGCTTCAAAATGCTATGTATTATAATAATAAATATGGGTATGTGTCTATCGTGTAATAATGATTTAAATAATAGTGACTACGATCAAAGATGATCTTTATTAAACTATTTCAAATTATTATTATTACTATCTTCCAGGTGAATGATTTGTGGGATATTAATAATTATGGTTTTAATAATTTTCTGACTTTTTCCGATTTTTTTAAAATTCATTTATCATCATGGGTTAGAGTAAAATAAGTTCAGATATAGATATAGATCTTAAATAATAGAAATTGCATAATTAAATGAAATGATACATTAAAAACTTTCACAAAAGAAGGAAATTTCTAGGAGGGAAATGATATTTAGAATGCGTCTATTTAACGAGAAAAAAGGTTAAAAGTAAAAAAAAATATATATATATTCACATTGTATTTATTGCGTTTATAAAAATCAAATTGTTTCAAAAAGTTAATAAAGACAATAATTATAATAATAATAATAATGAGGATAATAAAAATAATAAAAATAATAAAATAATAAAAATAATAAAAATAATAAAAATAATATTTAAAATTATTTATCGTCTATTAATCTTTCGTTTATCTCGATTAAGAATAGGTCGTAAATTAATGATTAATTAAATTGTTAAATAATTCATTTGATTAAATCGAAAAATAACAGGTGAAAAAACTAGATCAAGTTATATTAAGTCATCTCTGTTGGCAAGGGGAGTAAACGATAATAAATTTATTTTGATAAATTTAACATCGAATCGTCAAAAAGTTCTAAAAGTGAAAAAGTAATTCTCAGTTAATTAGTTATTAATTTTATACAGTATTTAACTTATGTATTTTCTTCAACAGTTAATACTGACGTAAAAAATTTTTTATCGAAAAATTATAACATGCAAATTAACAGTACTGTACAATTAGATAAAAGAAAAATGGATATACTAACTTTTAAAAAATTTCTAATTTAAAAATATTCTCATCACGAAAATAATGGGAACCACAAGAAAGGTGAATGGTAAAGTGTTAAATACTCGACCCAATTGGTCATTTATACTTGTTATTCTTCATAAAGATTCATTAAAAAAAAATAAATAAATAAAAAAAAAGTAAAAGAAGACTATTCTCGTTAAAGTCTTAAAATAGTGTAGTTTAATCTATAAATAATCAAAAAGAAAATACATAATTGTAAATTTTTCATTAAAAATATTAATTTTTCCCAAAAAGTAATAATTATTTTATTAATTCTTCGATTATTATAAAAAGTTATTTAGTAAAGCATTCTATATACTTATAATATTTATTTTTCTCAATTAATTTAGTACTTAGTATTTATCCCTTATTATTATTATAATTATTTACAGTAGAAAAAACTTATACAGTATTATAACTAATATTAAAAAAACGGAACGAAAGATCATCAATCTATTTTTTGTTTGTTCAAGCACATTACCTAAAAACTTAAATCTATAAAGTAACAGAAATATTATTATTAATTAAAAAATTTACCAATTTTAATAGCTCAGAACCTTTTACCAGTCTAATACTATTTAGGGTTCGCAAAAAATATTCGAATCTGCGGATCAATCTAAAGTTCAATCCACGGATTGCTCTAATGAGAATTCGGATTGATCCGTTGACCCGAAAAAGGGAGATAAAAAAATTTTTTTTTTTTTTAAAAATTTAAAAAAAAATATTCACGAATATTTTCTATGGATTCGAATATTTCTTCTATGGATTCGAATATTTTTATGGATTCGGATCAAATACAATAAAAATCGGATTCGGATCCGTATATGACAAATCCAGATCAGATTAAGAATTTAGAATATCGGATTAGATCCGAATATAGATAAAATCCGATCCGACTTTGCGGAACCCTATCAGGGTATTATTATAATCAGGTGCTTTTCTGTAATTTATAGAATTTTTATAAATCACAGAAGGAAAACTCTTTCTGACAATTATTTTGTCAGAATTTTCAAGGAAGAGAAAAATCTAAAAAACTCTACAAATGAATAATACAAACAACAGCAAAACATGAACAAGAAAAAGCAGGGTGAATGTACATGTTCCAGACAAACCACAGCAAACTATGGAACTAAAGTGAAACATGACACAATAAGCCTCAGCAAGAAAGGTGAAGAAGCAGTTCGCAACACTTTAAATATAGGAGAAATTATCCAGACAGGTTTTAACCTTTTAAGCTCTGGAGCAGGAACTTTGAACAATAACATGAAAACAACAGAAACAAACAACAATACTATTGAACAGAGTCAAGAAATAAATATAAATATGGAAACAGAAACTTTATTGAATAAAGAAATGAAAGAAAAAAACACACCAAAAAATGATAAAGGCAAAGTAAAAGAAGTATACAACAATAATGTAGAAATTAATGAAGAAGAGGCTAGTGATAGTGAGTCAGTGGTAACAGTAAACAGCTTCCAGAATGAATATGAAGAGTGGAAAAAAATGGCAAAATTGGAAAATATAAAGCCTGGGTAAAAGTAACAGTAGTTAAGAAAAAAAGTTTAGGGGAGAAAATCCAAAATATTACTTCAGTATTAGACAAAAATATTATTACAATCAGAACTGAAAAAAATAGAGATGACTGCGAACTTTACATTCCAATTTATTTTGGAAAAAAAGAAAATATGGAAAAGACATGTGAAATGGAAATCGAAGGAAAATGGAAAATGATAAACCTAAACTTGTTAGAACTACAATAACTTAAAATAGTAACAACAATAAGGAAAAAGGAGGTAAATTTTGAGATATTCCTGTAGACATATGTGAACAAGAATTCAAATACATGCTTAATCACAAATTTGAAAAAGTAATTTCATATACAATATCCACAAGGGATATGTGGTTATCAACAATTGCATATTTTGATGATCCTAACATTTTGAACAAATTTTATCTGAATGATCACAAACAGTAGGAGAAGAGTCATGCAAGGTGTCAATCCCAAGTATGAAATTTACAGAATTAAAAAATAGAGGTGCACATGCAGTTAAATTAATTAATTTATCACCTGATATGTCACCACATGAGTTACATGTGATCATAGCACAAATGGGAGCAAAAAAATGTTATTTCCCTTGAAATCTATATGGGAAAAAGAAAAGAATGGCAATTGCAACATTAGAAAGTAAAGAAGGAAAAAGGGAACTTATAGGACAAACATGAAAAGCAAGAGAATATATGATTAAAATAGTGGATATAAAAACAAAGACATGTCATAGATGTCATGCAGAAGAGTATATGGTATTGAATTGTCCATTTCAAAAAGACAAAAAGAAATAAATGAAAGAAAGACAAAAGATTTTGAGAAATATGGATACAAGTATAAGACCACTAGACCATGTTTATATCAAAACTTGAGAAATCAGGTAGGTATGAGAACTGAATATTCAGATGTAGTAAAAAGAAATGTAACTACAATTAGAAGAAATACTGATTTAATAAGTAACCAAGAGGATCCACTTCAAAATATAATGAATATGCTTGAAACTATCAAACAAGATATAGTAGAAATTAAAAAACAAACAAAAAATATTGATGAAAGAATACAATATTTGAAGGAATATACTGGATATAATTTGGAAGAAGAAGTAAAGCATATGATTGAGAATGAGAAAGAAAAAGAAGATACAGTAGAGAATGGTCAGAAAGAGTTCACAGAAGAAACAAAGAAATTGCAAAAAACACAAATGGAACAAATAACAAATACAGTCAAAATGTTAGCAGAATTAATACCAGAATTGAAAAAATTCAATAATGAAACACAAGAAAGATTAAGTAGAATAGAAAAGTTATTTATTTTGTCAAAACATAGAGAACAAACAAAGGCTACTTACAGCCAAGAGAACCAACATTCTTAATAATTTAAATATGACAGATAATTATAACAACACAAAAAATAATAATAATAATATAGCAGAAGGTAAACAAACTTCATTAAAAAATGATTATATAATTAATATAAATAATGAACATTTAAATAATAACAAATTAAATAATATTTCAGAAAATAGTAAAAAATCAAAAAAAATATTAAAAATAATGAAAAAGCAAAAAAAAAAATAATGATAATATTATAATTAGTGAAATTGATAATGATATTAGTAATCAAATGTCAAATTTTGATATTGATATAAATAACAATATAATAAACAATAGTAGTAATTGTGCAATAAATAATGACTGAAATAACAATATTGACCAAGCAATTAAGAACTTAGATCAGAACAACTTTAAAACCTTAAAAATAGCTATCCAAAACATAAGAGAAATAGCTAACATTACAAAACAAACAGATTGGTTAAAATTTTGGGAAGAGAAAGATTTAGACATAGTTAGGCTGAATGAAACCTGAACAAAGGAGAAAAGTTGTGGATATATATTTAAAAATAATATAATCAAAGAAACACTAAGAAAAGACAAGAATACTGATGAATATAAGTACTTTTGGACAAATGGACAAAAAACAAAGGGATCAAGAGTTGGAATCATGATAAAAAAAAACATGGGCAAAACATGTTTATAAAATTACAAATATGAAGGCAATGTGATTTCTGTAAAATTGTTATTTAAAAAGAAAATAAAATTGCAAATAATTGTAGTATATTATCTAGCAAGTGCAGACCAAAGAAAATTAAGAGCACATGTAACAAAGTAGATAATATGAGAATTAACAATTGTATAGTTAAGGACAAACATTATGCAATAGTTATGGGAGATTTTAATGCTATATTCAATCCTAAAATTGACAAGTTCAACACTAATATAAATGCAAGAAACAGATCAGATAAACTAGAAAGTCAAATTTTAAGATTCTTAGACAATAATAAACTTAAAAATATATTCAGAATGTACAAAAATGCAACAGTAAACACATATTTACAAAATAAAACAAAATTAAACTTTTCAGAAAGAAATAGTACTCAAGATATCAAAAGTAGAATAGATCAAATATGGGTATCAGATAAATTAGCAGACCAACTTTTTTGAGCTGACATTATACCAACAGATTTGAAAAGTCACAGTGACCATGCATGTGCAATGATGGAAATAGAAGATAACATATTTAAACACACTAGTTCAATAACAAAT